CATGTACAGTTTTAAAGTTTATACAGCATTTACTTTGCTGTGCTTGACCAGGTTGAATTTTTAGAAGCTTTTCATCTTCAACCAAACTTTTTCTAAGGACATTTATTCATGATTTAGAGGAATTGGCAGTAACGTCCTGTTGGCAACTAAAAGCAAGCAAAGTCTGTAATGACAATTTCAATTTCTATAGTTTCCAAAGTCTATAAAAATATCAGAGTTCTTCTTAACACCTCTGTACTTATTCTTCTGGTGAATGCGTTAAATGAAATGATTTGTATAAATGTTTCACAACAGTTAGTTTTACATCGCCACTGCTTGTTTTCTGAGGTGTCTCTGTAGATGAAGCATGTTGTGCAGTTTGCATGGTGCTGGTTGTTTTCGGTTCCTTTTCTAAAAGCAGATAATACACAGATGTATCTCAGAGACAAGGGTTTAAAAAGTTTGCTTTTTCAGAATGTCTAGAAATAGTGGTCCACACTTGGTCAGCGTAGTCCAACTGTTGGTAAAGTAGGACTGATATGTGAGTGTGTGGGAGAAAGAAGAGAGTTCAGTGTGGCTGCCCAAGTGTGTTGTCTGTAATATCTGTCTGTGTGAGCAGGGACAGTTATATAACAACAAACAGAATAGATGCACCCATGCTTCACAATCTCTGTGAACAGGAAGTGAGGGATTAAATCTTACACAGTGTTCATTGTTCACCAAAACTAGAGCGAGTGCAGCGTGACATCTCATGCGTTTGACAACCTGGGCTACAGTCTGTTTGTAAAGATCATTCCCATATACAGTGTCGCAGTGGCTCTAGTCTGGTGGTGGTGGTGATCCCTGAGCAAACAAAGCTGTTCACTGGTACACACAGTTACTCACCCAGAAAAAAGGAGGACGTTCAAAGAGAAATGCCCCTTGCTTGGATGACTTGTGGTGCAAAAATGACAGATTACAAAACAAAAAAAAGTTATTAATCAAATCATCCAAAAGAAAAGAGCCTGTTGAGAGCTTGTCTCAGTTAAACACTTCCCTGAATGTCGTCAGTACTACTGCTGTAGTACTGCTGTAGTACTGCACCCCAGTAGAAAAGTATTTGTGTGTGTGATCAGTTTAGGTATTGACTGGTACATTTGAACCCTGTGGCTGTGTTGTGCAAGGAGCAATGAGCACACACACACACACACACAGCACAGACAGGGTGACGTGGGCGGCCACTTGACCGCCTCACACAAACGCACATCACCTGGGGCGTTATAAACAGCCGGGCTTGGAGGTTGTGACTTGCACATCAGTCCCTGCTCCCTCCCCTTTTCTCTCTCCTGTCTCTCGCTAAAACAACACAGCATTTCGCACTCGTTTCATTTATTTCTCTCATTCTCCATCTACGTGTTGGCTGATTTTCTTTCCTTGCTCTCGTTAGGCCTGCTCCACACACTTCCTTCTCACTAATGTGCTTATCTGACTCTCTCTTCCTTTCTCTCTCTGTCTTTGTGTTTACCTATAGAGCATCTCTGTGTGGTTGAGACCAGTTGAAGTTGGCTTCCTGCCTGTTGAGATGTGCCAATAGGAAACACTGTGAGGAGGAGTTCATGCTGATGAAATTGATCTGCTCAGGTAAAAAACAAACATTTGTTCTTCCTCCTTTTTATTTTGTTTTAATATTTAAGGGGTGTTCCTAAATTCAATGCCACATTTAATCCAAATGTGCTCGTGTTTTGAGGGTTATATATAAATATTAACGTGATAAACCAATTTATTTACTATTCTACTAAATCTAACTTTAGTATGAACTGTCTTTTTTAGCTGGCTTATAAGTTGAGCTTTGAAACTCCTGAGAACAAGGTGGACATATTTTTAGAAGCTTCATGTCTTAATAAAAGATTAATCATTGTTTTATGCAACAACTCCTGACCACACTGGAGGCAGGGAAGAGACAGAAGGAGGGAGGAACAGATGGAAGGATGGACAGATGCATGACTTTTACAGATGTGGTTTCATGTCACAGTTGCCCTCCAAGAAAATGGTATCCCTCTTCCTTTTCAAAACCATGCATCCCCCTGCTTCCTCTGCCCTTTTGATACTCCTTTTGTGTTTCTCTTTTTCTATTCACTCCTCTTCGTTTCCCGCCTTTTATGTCTCCCTCATTCTCTTCTCTCGGCTCTTTCTCTTTCCCCTTTCTGATCTATTATTCACATCCTTCTTCGACTCTTTCTCTCTCTCCCCTAACACCTGAAATCCCTCCATCTACTCCAGGGTGTTTAGACCCCCACCAACAGCACTTCCCTCTGAGGAAAAGAAATAGAATGATGAATAAAAGAACAGAGCAAAAGCGACAGATAAAAAGCTTTGGGATGGGCAGCTCTATCGATATGCCAAGGTATTTCTTCATGAGCTGTATTGTACAGGATGACATTTTATACAGTCATATGTTATCCTGCAAAAAGACTGGCTCCTCAGTACAACCATGTAGGAGTCAGTATTTTAACACACATGAGACAGACCAGCCGCGCTGAACATTTAAAAAAAAAAATCTGTTAACACCTAATTCTTGTTGGATATCAGGAGGTCATGATGGTAAGGGAGTTAGGTTGTGATGAAGTGTTGCTCGCCCACAGCCAGCTTAGTTTAGTTGTGTATGAATTTCAGTATTTTCTAGACTTCTCTTAAACAATAGAAACAAGTCGGTGACTTAACTTCAGGTTTCACAAAATCCAACCTGCACTTAACACCAGTGGTTTATATGGCATTTTTTGAGTTTTGCTGGACACAGAGCAGAAGAGGGATAGAATAAAGAAAGGCACGAGTTACTACAAAATGAATTGTGTAGATTACCAGTTGCACTATAAATTTATGATTAGCAATTATTTTGTTTGTTGTTCTGTGGTAGCTAATTTATTTCATGTGGTTCCATCTGGTTTTGTTATTGTCCAACTACACCATTTATGCTAATATCACACTGACTATCCCCTATGTTTACATACTATTTGGGTGGTTTTCTGGATGTTAGTTGTGGATTAACATGGCTGTTGTGGCCGGTATTGTATCTAAGAGAAAATAATTGAACAACTGTAGCTCAACAAAATGCTTAAAAAGAGCATGCACAACAGGAAACCTCTTTATGGTTTTGGCTGCTTAAAGAGCGAAGAACAACTTAGTTAAGTTCTGGATGGGTGTGATCAGCTGCTTCTGATGAACAGCAGGAGGTAAATAGGATGGGGGTGGGTCATATCAATGAGACCCTGAAATGACAGCGGCGAAGAAAGGAACAGATTTAAAGTTTGACAGCAACAAGACAATCAGGTTACAGTGAATGCCTTCAGTTGCATCGTCTTACTGATGGAAGTTTCATTAAAGCGTCATTTAGTTTGATGAAAACCCTAGGACAACTTTTCTGGGACTCAAAACTTGTGTGTGTTCATGCCCCACCTTCTCACATCATTGCAAAAGATAAAGGCTAAACACAATCTACATATTACAGCACTGGTATGTGCATGCATCGGATGAGGGCAGATGTGAAATGAAATCTCCTTCTGTTCCCCCTCGCTGCACACATCATCTATCCATCTATCAGCACCACACCACAATGCCTTGCCTTCCCACAGCCCGGCCATCAATCATCACATTCCCATGCTTTATGGAAATGGGAGGAAAAACTGCATTTAACAGCATTTTAACTTCTATCTCACCCCCCTATTTCTCTTTGGTCATCCATCCTTCTGTACTTGCATCCAATCTAGTCACAGTGTAAGGTCATTCATTTAAACCGATATGAGGTGTGTGCATATGCAGGAAGATTTCATGGCCTGGCAGGTCAGAAAATACCAAGGCTGTTCCACCTCACTAACCCCCCATCAGGGCCTGTAGACAATTAATACACACCACAGGTGGTCAGGTTTGTGTGTAAGAGCGAGAGAGGAAAACAGGTAGCAATGAAAATAAGTCAGTATGTTTTGTTATGTTTGTCTCACAAAAAGCAGTAGACAGGAGCAAAATACTTTGAAGTGGGTGTTGTTCATGAGTAGAATTAAAGGAAAGGAGAAGAGCGAAGAAAAAAATTGAGGGAGGTGGATTGGAACGGCTGAAAGTAATGGGAGAGAGGGAAAAGGAAGGATAAGTGAAGCGTACTGTAAATGTCTTTGGTGCCAGTGTTGACCAACACTGCGTGTCCTTGGACTTCAGTGCACTTACAGTACTACATCCTCCTCCTCAGTATATTAGCTCTGTCACTTGGAAATGGATGTATTGGCTCAGCTGTTCAGTGTCACCATGCTGAATGGGTGCATGAAGAGATGGAGTACCAAACATTAACCAAAATATGAGCTGTGATTAGCATTACCAGGCCATGACAATTTTACTGTGGGAAAAGCAGTCATGTATCAGAATGACTCTGCATCCCATGTCCAGTAGCAGTGCAATAGCAATGCAGGAGGCAGTGCACCATGTGGAGTAAGGTCCAGAGTGAGGGTGTGGACGTCGGATGGTAGCATGTCTGATGCATCCTGTGACAGATCAGCAACCTCCCCCCTTAGCATATTTGACTTTCCATAACCATGATCTTTGTTTAGTTGTAACCATTCTGTAGTTGTCATGTGCATAGAAAGAAGAATTTTTACAATGTTGGCACTGGATGTCATCTGAGATTTTGCATAATCATCCAACACTGATGCTCCTGCTTGGGGATAAGGTTGTGACACGTGTTTCAAGGCAGATTGACTGGCCTATGAGAAGGGCAAAGCACGGCTACGTCTTGACACTAAAATCTGTGTCTGGGTGTTAGAGCTTTAACTGGTTCCAAACCAATTAAACTACCTTGGGACAGGCACACACTGGCTGCAAATCCCTTAATTTTAACAGAAGTGAAGGCATGTCAAGCTAAAAATGTGCTTATGAGTTTTGAAAAATGATTATTGTGATGTAAAATATGTAGAAAACTTTGCATCAAGTCGCCATGTTCCTGGTTGATTAACCACTTTTTATACAGTAAATTGATGGTTGGAAGTGGAAGAAATCCATAAATATTTAATAAGCACTTGAATGTGAATAAGTAGAGAAGGTAATAGATTCAATGTACAGATTGATGCATTTTTACAAATCAAATGAAAGAATAAAGAGAGAGAGGATCAAATATGCCGATCATCCAGTTGCTCAAATGGATGAAATGGCCATTTTTAGCATGGCGGTCCTAGCCATCTGCGATCCATAAACGTGTGTTGGCGCATGTGCTTGTGTCCAGAGGGGAAAGGTGCATGCTAGAGCTGTTTTAACATGATTAAACACGGGTTCTCCCTCCCCTCATCTATTTCATTATCTCGTCTGCCTCTCCTCCCCCCAGTCTCCCCTACACAGCACTTCTGAGACAGAGAGAGAGATAAACAAAAGGGCAAGAGCCACACAGGGAATCACACATAGAAAGAGAGAGTCGGGCAAAGATTGAAGTGAGGAGGGTCAGGGAGAGATTCACAGTGGAATTCACATGAGAGAGGTCTGTCTGAAATAGTTTCCTGTGTTATGATATAAGTATTTTAGCTTTTATTTATCTGGATATGGTAGTTGCACTGAGCCACTGGCACTTACTGGATTGGGTGTAATCCTCCTCCAGGAGCCTGTCAAACAAATGCTTTCAGGCAGATTGTCTGAGAGGTTGACAGAAACATTTTCAACAGATCGGTCCAAGAGGCCGTGTGTGGCGGGTCCTGATTTTTATTTTTGGTGTTTTTACTGGGTGGATTGACAGGCGAACACATTACCATAACACTCCACAACATAGTATATGATATGATGCTGTGATTGAAATAATACAGTTCAGTATCTTTCAAAACTGTTTCTAAAGCTGCTCCAAGTTTTTTACCAGGCCACAATGTCTTGGAGTATGTGAGATTTTTGTCAGCTTGCTTGTAGCTGCCTGTCAAACTCTCAGTGGATTCGTCTGCCTCTCCTTCTTTCTTTTTTAAATGCCAGAACAATTTCACAGCTTTTAACTGTCTAGTCAGGCCAGAGAGGTGATAATGTCGTCAGTTTGTTGTGTGAAAGAAAAAAATGATCAGACATCTTTTTAAAATGCATGTAAATCACATAATCAGTTCAAAATTTGTTTGTGAGAATGAGGACAAGTGAGCAGATGAATATGTGAGGAGGCGCCCACGTTCATGTTGTTTTACCCTAATACATCAAATGCCCCATAGCTCAATCTACAATTAACTGAGAATATCATGCAGTAAAAGAAAAGAATGATAAGACAGAGCACTAGAGGCAATGTTTTTACTTGAAAATAGGAATGTTTTGAAAAGGCCACAGCCTGACTTGACACCATCCTGGAAAGACTTGTACAGTAGCGTGTATCAAACTCGTATGACACACTGATTCTTAGCAGTTTCACACAAGAGAAGTGACAGAATACAATATACTCACACCAGATAGTATTCCTGTGAAATAAGACAACTGCTGATGCACACTAGTCTCCCACAATACAATGTCCTAAAGAGGAGCTACTCACAACTTGGAAGAGAAACAGCAATTGAGGGGGGAAAACTCAAAAAAAAAAAAAAAAATCTGTGAAAGTTTAACTGTCTCACTCATAGAAAATGAGTTCTCAAGTCTGGAGTTTGGCTTTACTG